ATATATATATATATAAATTAGTAAATTAAAATATATAAAAAATATTGTAAAAAATAATAAATATAAGTGACTAACTAAATTTAAATAAAAATGAAAATATAAAAAATGTAATTCAAAATATGAAATACTATAAAATAAAAGCTACAGACAAAATATAGTAAAAAAGTAATAAAAATGACAAAAATTAACTTAAATGATTTTAGCAAATGGCTGCAATATAACAGAGTGAAAAATTTAAGGGGGTCTGAATACTTTCCGTACCCACTGTATATATATGTATATGTGTGTGTATTTATATATTTATGTGTATAAACATTTATTTTAAACAATATCTCACGAAATATTTGTATTTGACAACAAAAATGTTGATGCGTCTGCAAAGAATGTACTTGCACAAAGGAAACTAACTAATAAATAATCTCAGCATGGTTAAATATTGGTTGGTTAAGCCTGGTCAATATGTCTATCACTAGTTTTTAACTTTGCTGGTTACTTGCGACTGTGTCCTCATATTTGCACATTTGCCTGACATCAACACACAGTGACACAGATCACATGAAGCATGGCTCAAGTACAATTTAAGTACAGTACATAAAATAATGGTAGTCACAATTGCGGGGAGTTTAAAACATATACAGCATATATCTGGAGTGACATTTTTGAGCTTTATCAACATGCAAGTACTTGAGTACTGAGTGATACGTCACAGGAGCCGTATACTGATGTAAACAGCAGATGTAAACCACAGAAAAACACTGTCATTTGTGTTGTGCAGTAGATGTGAGAAAGAAAAATGGCTGTGATGAACACTAGTCATTTTTAACACAATGACTCTGTTTTGAATAACAGGCTTGTGTAATCACAGACACATTCACCGTTTAATTATCATTGATGTTCTTTAAGCAAACCAAATCGCCACCTAAATAGTTGTTAATGGTGTGATGTCACTCAAATTGATTCTGTCCAGCTTAAGCACTTCAATTTGAAATGACCTCCATTTAAACATCTTATTTCCAATGGTGTGTGCGTTTTAGGCACTCATGAAGAAAACCTTTTTTGTCAACCATCAACCAAACAAAACAGAAATGATCAGATAATCTTAAACGTACCTACATACTCAGCTAATGTTTCACTTTTTGATTGTATCGGACCTGAAAATGTCAGACTACTTAAAGATGGAGTGTGTAATTCCTATCCCATTAACATCAACAAAATTTGATTCAAAATATGAATGCGCATAAAAATATCATAAAAAATGTACATTAAAAATCGACATAAAAATATGTAGAATGTTGTTTTTACCTGAAAATGCTAGTTAATATTATTGCATTGGACTTTGCTTACACATGTTATAACAACTATAAAAAAAGAAATAAAATAGAAATAAATGTGTGTATGTACGCAAGTAAATAAATAAATATATACATTTTTTGTATCTTGGGGGGATAGGTTTCATCTTGTTACACTTGTGGTGTTCCGGTCAAAAAGGATTGGCGTACGAAAAATTGCTTATAATTTTCTTGTTATGCTATATTATGATGAAATGTTGGATTCAATCTATTTATCAGCTTGTTTTCTTTTAATTAGCACAGATTTTGTATTTCTTTTTAGAACTGACTGATCACACGCACTTTCTGTGTGAACATTGCCAAAATTATCCACAAATAATGCTTTTTTAATTTTATTTCAAAAACGGAGGTGCTACTAATTTTATGCAATAAATAATAAACTTTTATAAATACTGTTGCTTCTAAGTTCTGTGAGTGGTTGTGACCATATGCAAAATCTAGGATCCGGTTATAATGATGAACATATATTCAATTCATCAAAGCATAATGAATCAATAGCCACCTTTATACTGCAGGCTTTCATTCATGCTGAACCAAACGTCTAACACATAAACATCAACTCAACCTTTAACACGTTTCTTTGACTGTCTTGTGTAAGCACCGAGGCATTTCCTTCAGGAAATGCAAATCTAGTTAACGGTGCTGTTCTGAATTCTATTAATTACAGGCTATTTGCTTTTTGTGTTGTGCAACCCCGAATTAAACAGTCAGTGTCACAAAACTGCCACATTGGTTGAGAAAGTATTAATACTCATTAAATATTCAAGATGTTAACTGCGATACATCACAACATCTTAAATCATAAGAAGCACATCTGAGTGTTAAAATCTTCTTATGGTCAAATGCATGCAAATCGTCATCTCAAATGGGAGCAGAATTTTTCACAGGTGTTAAACGGCTGTTCAGAGTCTCAGCTGTGATCACCTTCAGAATCGTGATGTTCCAGGTGAAGCTCTCTACAGATTTGTGGAGTTTTCTTCCCTTCAGTCCCTCCTTCATCGCCATGTCGTGTAGTTTCTCATGGAACTCCATCGCTGAAATGACACATTCAGAAGTTCAGATCAGAGCTGGCAAATATGGCCAAAAATTATGTCTATATATATATATATAGAGAGAGAGAGACTTATGCTCACCAAGAAAAAAAAAAAACAGTACAATTTTAAATAACTGTTTTCTATTTGAATATATTTTAAAATGTAATTTATTCCTTTGATGCAAAGCTGAATTTTCAGCATCATTATTCACCAGTCTTCAGTGTCACATGATCCTTCAGAAATCATGAAAATATGCTGATATGTTGCTCAAGAAACATTTCTTATTGTTATCAATGTTAAAAACAGTTATGCTGCTTCAAATTTTTGAAACCTGATACATTTTTTTCCCCAGGATTCTTTGATGAATAACAAGTTCAAAAGAACAGCATTCAATTGAAACAGAAATATTTTGTAACATTATACATGTTTTTACTGTCAGATCGGACTAATTTTATGCATCCTTGCTAAATATTATAATTTAACATAATTTAATTTATTTCTTAAAAAATGTACTGACCATAAATTTCTGAACAGTAGTGTAAATTTCCACATTTATTGCAGTTTGCAATTAAACATGAGAAACCATGCCTCCAACCAATGAACTGTTGTGACAAAATTTAAAACGGATGATTGAAAATCAGTAAAAATCAATAAACACCAATTTCCATTTATATGCACCAATATCACAATACTTTATAATAAACAACAATATTTACCTACACATTTTAATAGAATCATTTTAATATATGAAAGCTTATTTCCATCAGAGTTCAGAATTGAATCAATTCATTTGAATCAACAGTTTGAACTGATTAATAGAAATGAACCACATCAACTAGTTGAATTTTTCTTGCATTTCAAATCAGAGACGTTATTAAAACATGCTCTGATTCTTGAATCGTGAGATACAGAACAATTGTAAAACGAGTCTAAAAGAACTTAAAATGTGCCTTAAATCACTGCAAATAATAGTCCAATATTTTGTTTGTGGGACGTCCCAGCTCAATATGCACAACTCACCCATCGGGCTAAACAATAAGGATGGCTCGTGGCCAATTTGAGAGAGTTTCAAGCCATCTGAACTCCTGCCGGCAACAAAATCCCTGCAACTAGTCAAGCTTTTCATGTTGGCAAACTAACTGAAAGAAGTTTAAGTTGAAACACACACAAAAAACTAAAGCTACACTAAAACTGAAATAAAAATGAATTAAACTTAAATATAAATACAAAAAAAAAAAAAATACAATTACTAAAAAATTAAACAAATTAAAAATAAAACTGAAAATATAATAATAGAAGCTAATTCAAAGTATTAATAAAAACGGTAATCACATAAATAATACTAAAATAACACTGGTTATGAAAACTCAATTATTAAAAATTGTTATATTAAAACTTATACAAAAACATGTTAAGCATAAAACAAAACTCACTAAAAAAATAAATTAGAATTCAAATGGAAAAATCTAAAAATAAAAGCTAATTTAAAATATTAATAAAAACTAATTATATATATTAGGGATGGTAAGATTCCCCGATTCGCTCGGTGCATCGGCATAAAAGTTAACGATGCGATGCATCGATTTAAAAAAGTGTGCATGCGATACAAGTTGCCATTTGTTTCGCGATGCATCATTTCTAACATATCTGCATCAGTTAAAACCGGTTTATTTATACATAGTTATTCTAAAAAATAAATTAGAGTTCAAATGGAAAAACCTAAAAATAAAAGCTAATTTAAAATATTAATAAAAACTAATTATATATATTAGGGATGGTAAGATTCCCCGATTCGCTCGGTGCATCGGCATAAAAGTTAACAATGCGATGCATCGATTTAAAAAATTGTGCATGCGATACAAGTTGCCATTTGTATCGCGATGCATCGTTTCTAACATATCTGCATCGGTTAAAACCGGTTTATTTATACATAGTTATTAGTAGATGCGCTATACTTTTATTGTTTAGAAAGTGACCAATAATTTGTGACCAATATTTTCTAAGTAGGTTTGTTTCTGAAGCGCCACTGCTGCTACGTGAATATGACGTATCACAACACTACGGACACCGAGGCGTTAGAAGTCAGAATGCACTTAAGTTAATTTATGATTTGCTGTCTGTCTGAACCAAAGGAATAAATGTACAATACTGAATTGCATAGCATCATATTTTTTCCATTGCATCATATTGCATTGAATCGCATTGATTTGAA